GTTTAATTTTGGACCCTTTTGACCTCAATGTGGACAAAGTTGATAATGGGGCCCAAAAATCAAAAATCTAAATACATGGTTAGATTCAGCATATCAAAGAACCCCATATATTCAATTTTTGTTGAAATCAAACAAAGTTTAATTTTGGACCCCGATTTGGACCAACTTGAAAACTGGGCCCATAATTAAAAATCTAAATACCGGTACATGTTTAGATTCAGCATATCAAAGAACCCTAAGAATTCAATTTTTGTTAAAATCAAATTAAGTTTAATTTTGGACCCTTTGGACCTTAATGTAGACCAATTTGAAAACTGAACCTAAAATTAAGAATCTAAATACACGGTTAGATTCGGCATATCAAAGAACCCCAATAATTCAATTTTTGATGAAATCAAACAAAGTTTAATTTGGGACCCTTTGGACCTCAATGTGGACCAATTTAAAAACGGGGCCCAAAATCCAAAAACTTAATACACAGTTAGAATCAGCATATTAAAGAACCCCAAGAATTCAAGAATAAAACCCCATTGAAATTGGTCAAGAAATAAGCAATTTATACTGTGCAATTGAATATTTCTTGCTATTGCGCAATACTGTACAATTGACAATTTCTTGCTATTGCGCAATATTGTGCTATTGGATATTTCTTGCTACAGCACAATACTGTGCAATTGAAGATGTCTTGCTATTGCGCAATACTGTGCAATTGAAGATTTCTTGCTATTGTGCAATACTGTGCAATTGAAAATTTCTTGCTATTGCACAATACTTATTATATAATAATTTACACATCCTGTTTGGTGTGTATCTCCTACCATATCATTATTATTTGCTTTTAAATATAAAACAGAAATAACCAACTTAAAATGGAAAATTTTAAAAGAAAAAAAAAAGGAAAAAAAAGAAAAAAAAGGAAAAAAAAAAAATCCCCCTCCTCAAATTTTTTGAACCCCCTTATGATTCATCACCCCCAAACTCAATCCCAGCCTTCCCTTTGTGGTTTGGTACCTTGCAGTACAATTTCAGAGAGATCCATACACTTGAACACAAGTTATTGTCATGAAACTAGAAAAATGCTTATTTTTTGCCCCTTTTTGGCCCCTTATTCCTAAACGTTTTGGGCAATTACCCCCAAACTCATTCCAGCTTTCCCATTGTGATATGGAACCTTGTAGTACAATTTCAGAAAGATCCATACACTTACACACAAGTTATTATCATGAAACTAGAAAAATGCTTGTTTTTTGCCCCTTTTTTGGCCCCTAATTCCTAATATTTTGAGGCAATTACCCCCAAAATCAATCCCAGCATTCCCTGTGTGATATGGAACCTTGTGGTACAATTTCAGAGAGATCCATACACTTGAACACAAGTTATTGTCTGGAAACTAGAAAAATGCTTTTTTTTGCCCCTTTTTGGCCCCTTATTCCTAAACGTTTTGGGCAATTACCCCCAAACTCAATTCCAGCTTTCCCATTGTGATATGGAACCTTGTAGTACAATTTCAGAAAGATCCATACACTTACACACAAGTTATTGTCATGAAACTAGAAAAATGCTTGTTTTTTGCCCCTTTTTTGGCCCCTAATTCCTAATATTTTAAGGCAATTATCCCCAAAATCAATCCCAGCATTCCCTGTGTGATATGGAACCTTGTGGTACAATTTCAGAGAGATCCATACACTAACACACAAGTTATGTCTGGAAGTTACAAAAATGCTTATTTTTGGCTCCTTTTTGGCCCCCAATTCCTTAACTGTTGGTACCATAACCCCCAAAATCAATCCCAACCTTCCTTCTGTGGTATTGAACCTTATGGTAAAATTTCATAGAGATCCATTCACTTAAAATAAAGTTAGAGTGCGAAAACCAATGTGTCTTCAGACGTCGCAGGACGACGCCGACGACGACGCCAACGTCATACCAATATACGCTGCAAAAAGGTCGTATAAAAACTGCATTTGACCCTTATGTTCTATTTTTAGCCATGGCGGCCATGTTTGTCGATGAATACAAATTTCGAATACAGTTTATAAACAAGATACCCTAAGGAACATTTAGTTAAAGTTTGAAGGTAATTGGCCCAGTAGTTTCAGAGGAGAAGATTTTTAAATGTTAGCAAACTTGATGAACAAATTGTGTAAAATTGTCTTTAAAGGGCAATAACTCTTTAAGGGGTCAATTGACAATTATGGTCATATTAAATTTTTGTAGATCTTACTTTGCTGAACATTATTGCTGCTTACAGTTTATATATATCTATAATAATATTCAAAATAATAACAAAAAACTGCAATATTTTGTTAAAACTACCAATTCGGTGGCAGCAACCCAACAATAGGTTGATCGATTAGTCTGATAATTATAGGGCCGATAGATCTTGACCAATTAAACAATTTTACCCTTTGTCACATTTGCTCTAAAAGGTTTAGTTTTTGAGATATAAGCCAAAAACTGCATTTGACCCCTATGTTCTATTTTTAGCCATGGCGGCCATGTTTGTCGATGGATCAAAACTTCGGATACAATTTATAAACTAGATACCCTAAGGAACATTTAGTTAAAGTTTGAAGGTATTTGGCCCAGTAGTTTCAGAGGAGAAGATTTTTGAAATAGTTTATGACGACAGACGACGACGACGGACGCCAAGTGATGGCATAAGCTCACATGGGCCCCTTTGGGCCCCGTTGAGCTAAAAAGACTTGAAACATCCCCCCCCCCAAAAAAAAACCAAAAAAAACAAACTTATATGACATAGCAACTATAATACATGAACATAAATGTGAATAAAATGCTCCGCTGGGGCGCAGCTTGATACGACCGCAGAGGTCGAACCCTGTACAGTTGGGGCAAGTATGGACACAACATTCAAGCTTGATACAGCACTGAATTTGGATTGTAATTAAATATTTGACACAGCATAGGTTTCTCACACAGAATGAAAGTGGTCTAAGAACTTAAAATTTTTTAAGTTACCTGTTCAAACCATATTATTATTATTTGCTTTTATATATAAATCAGAAATAACCAATTTAAAATGGAAAATTTTAAAGAAAAAAAAAGGAAAAAAAAATCCCCCCCACCCCCAAATTTTTTGAACCCCCTTATGATTCATCACCCCAAACTCAATCCCAGCTTTCCCTTTGTGGTATGGTACCTTGCAGTACAATTTCAGAGAGATCCATACACTTGAACACAAGTTATTGTCATGAAACTAGAAAAATGCTTATTTTTTGCCCCTTTTTGGCCCCTTATTCCTAAACGTTTTGGGCAATTACCCCCAAACTCAATTCCAGCTTTCCCTTTGTGGTATGGAACCTTGCAGTACAATTTCATAAAGATCCATACACTTACACATAAGTTATTGTCCTGAAACTAGAAAAATGCTTGTTTTTTTGCCCCTTTTATGGCCCCTAATTACTAAAATTTTGAGGGAATTACCCCCCAAAATCAATCCCAGCCTTCCCTTTGTGGTATGGTACCTTGCAGTACAATTTCAGAGAGATCCATACATTATTTGAACACGAGTTATTGTCTGGAAACTAGAAAAATGCTTATTTTTGGCCCCTTTTTGGCCCCTAATTCCTAAAATTTGGAGGCAATTACCCCCAAAATCAATCCCAGCATTCCCTTTGTGATATGGAACCTTGTGGTACAATGTCAGAGAGATCCATACACTTACACACAAGTTATGTCTGGAAGTTACAAAAATGCTTATTTTTGGCCCCTTTTTTACCCCTAATTCCTTAACTGTGGGTACCATAACCCCCAAAATCAATCCCCACCTTCCTTTTGTGGTATTGAACCTTATGGTAAAATTTCATTGAGATCCATTCACTTAAACTAAAGTTAGAGTGCGAAAACTAATGTGTCTTCGGAAGATGACGACGACGCCAACGTCATACCAATATACGACCACAAAAATTTTTTTGCGGTCGCATAAAAATTGTGGAAAAAAATGAAAACTTTTAATAAAATCGAAGCTAACAAAAATGATCATAATTTTGGTATTTTGAAGAACCTAGCAAAATAACTTGTCAAGGTGTTTTGAATCTATATGTATACATGATAAAAATAAAATGCTCTGCTGGGGCACAGCTTGATATGACCGCAGAGGTCGAACCCTGAACAGTTGGGGCAAGTATGGACACAACATTCAAGCTTGATACAGCACTGAATTTGGATTGTAATTAAATATTTGACACAGCATAGGTTTCTCACACAGAATGAAAGTGGTCTAAGAACTTAAAAATTTTCAATTTACCTATCCAAACCATATCATTATTATTTGCTTTTATATATAAATCAGAAATAACCAATTTAAAATGGAAAATTCTGAAGAAAAAAAAGGAAAAAAAAATCCCTCCCCCCAATTTTTTGAATCCCCTTATGATTCATCACCCCAAACTCAATCCCAGCCTTCCCTTTGTGGTATGGTACCTTGCAGTACAATTTCAGAGAGATCCATACACTAACACACAAGTTATGTCTGGAAGTTACAAAAATGCTTATTTTTGGCTCCTTTTTGGCCCCCAATTCCTTAACTGTTGGTACCATAACCCCCAAAATCAATCCCAACCTTCCTTCTGTGGTATTGAACCTTATGGTAAAATTTCATAGAGATCCATTCACTTAAAATAAAGTTAGAGTGCGAAAACCAATGTGTCTTCAGACGTCGCAGGACGACGCCGACGACGACGCCAACGTCATACCAATATACGCTGCAAAAAGGTCGTATAAAAACTGCATTTGACCCTTATGTTCTATTTTTAGCCATGGCGGCCATGTTTGTCGATGAATACAAATTTCGAATACAGTTTATAAACAAGATACCCTAAGGAACATTTAGTTAAAGTTTGAAGGTAATTGGCCCAGTAGTTTCAGAGGAGAAGATTTTTAAATGTTAGCAAACTTGATGAACAAATTGTGTAAAATTGTCTTTAAAGGGCAATAACTCTTTAAGGGGTCAATTGACAATTATGGTCATATTAAATTTTTGTAGATCTTACTTTGCTGAACATTATTGCTGCTTACAGTTTATATATATCTATAATAATATTCAAAATAATAACAAATAAAATGCTCCGCTGGGGCGCAGCTTGATACGACCGCAGAGGTCAAACCCTGAACAGTTGGGGCAAGTATGGACACAACATTCAAGCTTGATACAGCACTGAATTTGGATTGTAATTAAATATTTGACACAGCATAGGTTTCTGACACAGAATGAAAGTGGTCTAAGAACTTATAATTTTTTAATTTACCTATTCATACATGTGATGGACTGTGAAACTCAGATCAGGAGATTGGGAAATTTTGGTCAGGAGATTAGGACTCAGATCAGGAGGTTTTTAATCGACATAAATTTTGTCGTAAATGTAACCGTGTGCTGTAAAAATGGTCTTTTAAAGTGTGTTTTCTTCAACTTTCCATCCAATTTATTATGTTTATAGTACCCTTGTACTTATAAAGTTTCTCCATCTTTATATTTTACATGTTCAATCTAACATTTTTTTTTTTCAGTATGTTCTTTAAATTTTTTACTTCATATTCTATAAAACATTTATTGCAACCAGAACATTTGTTTAACTATCTGCAAATAGCTTATGTTTGCATACTCAGAAAATCATTCTAACTGTAAAACAAGGGTCATAGTTATTATATAAATTTCAAATTAAGCCTTGAAAGGAAGTATAGAATCCTCAAATAATTTTCAAATTATTATTTTTTTATTTGTCCTAAGACATTTAAAATCATTTATTTACCATCCTTTTATGATTATTTGTTCAATTTATATTTTATTTATATTCTTTTAAAAATTTTCATTATTAAAAGGAAAGTAACTTAAAACAGGATAAATCAAGGGAAGTAACCCAATAAATACACAGTTTTTGTTACACAACGGCAGTTAGCCTGAGGTAAAAAATCATTGATTACCAGTATGTTTGACACCCAAGCTGACAAGTGAAGCCATATAATTATGCATGTTAATTGATTTACAGGTAAAATATAACTTCAGGTAATGTGAGTTACACAAGATGCCTGAGATGATATGTTGGGCAGAAATTTTTCATTCATGAAAAATTTCATACACGGGATTATAATTTTCCTCTTCAACCGGAGGTCAGGAGGAGACTCCTGAAAACAGGATTATTGTACACCTGTCGGGAGGTTCACATGTATGCTATTCAAACCATATCATTATTATTTGCTTTTATATATAAATCAGAAATAACCAATTTAAAATGGAAAATTTTAAAGGAAAAAAATGAAAAAAAAATCCCCCCCCCCAAATTTTTTGAACCCCCTTATGATTCATCGCCCCCACACTCAATCCCAGCTTTCCCTTTGTGGTATGGTACCTTGCAGTACAATTTTAGAGAGATCCATTCACTTGAACACAAGTTATTGTCTGGAAACTAGAAAAATGCTTGTTTTTTTGTCCCTTTTTGGCCCCTAATTCCTAAACGTTTAGGGCAATTACCCCCAAACTCCAACCCAGCTTTCCCTTTGTGATATGGAACCTTGCAGTACAATTTCATAAAGATCCATACACTTACAAACAAGTTATTGTCCTGAAACTAGAAAAATGCTTGTTTTTTGCCCCTTTTTGGCCCCTAATTCCCAAAATTTGGAGGAAATTACCCCAAAAAATCAATCCCAGTATTCCCTTTGTGATATGGAACCTTGTGATACAATGTCAGAGAGATCCATACACTTACACACAAGTTATTGTCATGAAACTAGAAAAATGCTTGTTTTTTGCCCCTTTTTGGCCCCTAATTCCTAAAATTTGGAGGCAATTACCCCCAAAATCAATCCCAGCATTCCCTTTGTGATATGGAACCTTGTGGTACAATGTCAGAGAGATCCATATACTTACACACAAGTTATGTCTGGAAGTTACAAAATTGCTTATTTTTGGCCCCTTTTTGGCCCCTAATTCCTTAACTGTTAGTACCATAACCCCCAAAATCAATCCCCACCTTCCTTTTGTCGTATTGAACCTTATGGTAAAATTTCATTGAGATCCATTCACTTAAACTAAAGTTAGAGTGCGAAAACTAATGTGTATTCGGACGACGACGACGACGACAACGACGACGACGACGACGACGACGACGCCAACGTCATACCAATATACGACCACAAAAATTTTTTTGCGGTCGTATAAAAAGTGAGTGCAAATAGGCAGAAAACAGCAGTAAAAACTAGTGAAATTGTCACAAGACAACTGACAAAGACACCCCCAAATGTGTATAGATATGTCATGATTTGCTATCCAAACAATTCCAATATTGTGATTGAAAAATTTGTAAGGAGTTCCGCGGATCCCTGTGTCTGGCCTACGATTGCTGCTGTCAGTGTAAAAGTGTAATATTGACTTAAAAAGTGAGTCCATTTATTAGTAAAATACAGAATGTTAAAAAAGATTCAAACTTTCTCTTTAGATGCTATTTCTTGGTCTTGAAGATTAGCTTCTGTTCAAGTTTCATAACAATCCATGAAGGTTAACAAACTTATCATGTCAAAAAAAATTTAATCCCAGACTGTCAGTAAATGTTAACTGTAAAAAAGTCCATCTATCAGAAAAATAGTGAAAATAACAATATATTTTCAAAACTGTGCTTCAGACATTATCTCTTAATCATAAAAAAGTTTCATAAAATTCTATGAAGGTTTGACAATGTATTTGATGTCTAACAAACTTTAACCTTTGTTAAATGTTAAAAAAAACTAAGTCCATTTATCAGTAAAATATGGAAGAATGAAAATAAATATTTTCAAAATTTTGCGCTGGATACTGTATTTTGGTCATAAACAATCTTCTGTCCAAATTTCATCTAATTCCCTGTAGGTTTGACAAAGTTATTGATGTCCAAAAAAACTTTTAACCACAGACTGAACCTAAATGTTGACGACTCCGCCGCTGACAACGGATCGCTATGTCTCACCTTCGAGAGGTAAATTTCGCAGGCTTCACAAAAATAGAATACAAGAGGCACAATGGCATTTTGTAAGAAAATTTCTATGAAAGTTTCATTGAAAGAAATAGCCAGCATAAACATAAAAATAAGGAGATGTGGTATGATTGCAAATGAGACAACTATCCATCAAAGTTCAAATGAAGTGGATGTAAGCAATTATAGGCAACTGTCTGTTTTGCAGATATGGCAATCTCCATGTTTTGATATGGCAATCTCCATGTTTTGATATGGCAATCTCCATGTTTTGGTATGGCCATCCCCAAATATCATCATTTGGACACAAAAATAAAATAGAAGGTATACAATACCAGAAAACAAGATTCTCTGAACATATCATTGAAATTCAGTCCCTGGTTGAGAAAGGTTAGCACATACAAAATGTGAATTGACAAACAGACACACAGAAGAATGGAGTATAATAATGAACAAGTTATAAAATGTAATTTAAAGAATTTAATGCTTTTTGTTGTTGTTTATAATAAATAAGGTTGTAAAAAAAATAAGGTATAAAGTTGTGATAGGAAATAGATGTGATAGGACCATGCAATATAAAGTTGTAGTGAAAGGATATATGATGGAAATTAAGTATGACCATTTTGTATTCTTTTTATTGCCAAGGATACCAGTACTGTAAACTTATTCAAGCTTCTTGACTGAAATAAATGAGTTGGTTTCATTCATACAAAATTTCATCCACAGAAAGCATGCACTTCAGAACAACTTCAAATTCAGCAATAATAAACTTTATTAGATTTCAAACCAAGGAATGAACAATTTTGTTCCACTGTATCTTTTTTTAGCTCCATTATAACTTGAATGAGTAATTGTAGTGTTTCTTAATTTCCCTAAACCGTTGCCTTTTATTGAGACTGGTGATATGACATGACTGTCAGAAATCTCATTACATTTGGAAATGAAACAATAATTTTGTCAATATGGAGAAAACAAATTTGATCAGATCCACAATCAGTAACAAGAGACTTAGTAAATGCTTTATGGTTTACAGCTGAATGTAATGAGTATTTTCTCAGAATATAACTGCCATCAGAGAAATGTGAATGAAAGCCATTCATGATCAAACTTCCATTTGTTGATATTGGATAACACATAATTGTCTGGATGGTGTCTTTATTTTGGTCTATTTGAAATATGCCCTTCATTTTCTTTTATTCATATTTTATCTCTAAAAAATGCAAGGCATTCATACAATTGAACTTTGAATTGAAGATCACATTTTTCTTTCAATGCAGCATGTGTTTCAATCATTTTAAAATAATCATTTATTACAACAAAGAATTTTCCTGCTTATAGTACTTGTTTTTATTTTTTTTTTATTTTTTTATGTGAATGAAAATAAAAAAAAGACAAGAAAGATTTTGGTACTTTTCACACAGTATGACCCAAAACAACAACCAGCAACATATTTCACTAAAAGCCAGTCCATTCCATCCATTAGAAAAACTTGGTAAAACCTTTAAACAGGAAGCAATCAAGACTTCTACAAATATCTGGTCAATGAATACTTAATTTGTGTGATCTTACTTAGCATCATCTCCAGATTCCAATTTATTATTTTTGCCCAAAGATAATTTTCCTTAGTTCTCTTAATTCAGTCGAATTGTCATCAGGCAAAAATATGTCAGATATAAATGATACTTTATCAACTGGCTAAGGAGTAGTTAAAAAGGCTTCAGAAAATGTGTGTTTATGACAGTTTTAGCTCTAGGTTAATTATAAATTCACATCAGGAACTTAGTCAAATTAGCTGGATAGTTTTTATTATCAGATGTGTATTGCTATTAAAATAGATAAAAATAGACAATTCCATTTTATCTACATACACAGGTTATAATGCCTTTCTCATAGGGATAGAACACATACATCTTAGTTTGACATCACTGATAAATTCTGCTCTATATTAACAAAACCATAAAACAAGTACATGAGCATCTAATTGGGGTGCAGGAAATAATTAGGGCACAGGGAGGTACATTAAAAATATAGTTTTGTATTTCTGCTAACATATCTTGATCTGTCTTATGCTATTATTCTACAGATATCAAACTTTAATCCTCTTAAAGGATGTTAAGGACCTTCTCCTAGTAATCACTACAGATCCACTTTGTCG